CAGCGGCGGGGCCTGGGGGGTCAGAGCGGGGAGTTGGGGGTCGGGAGAGGGGGTGTCCCGCGCACCTGGGCTCCCTGGGAGGGTCCAGGGCCTTGACGGGCTGGAGCAAGGGCCTGGGAGCCCGTACGCCTGGTTGCCCCCAGCATTGGGAGGGGAGCGGGGGCACCTGCCGCGCAGGGTCACCGTGCCCCCCGCAGAGGCCGCCGGCCGGCTGGGCGCCACGGGGCTGGGAGTCGGCACGAGTGGCGACGGCCGAGATGCGGGCGCTGGTCGTGGACTGGCTGGTGCAGGTGCAGGTGGGTGCCGGGGTCCCCCTCCTTGCCCTAGCAGGGCCCCTGGCCCGCCCGCCCGCCGTGCCTCAGTTTCCCTCCCCGCAGGAGTGCCTGGGCCTGGCGGACGACACGCTCCACCTGGCCGTGCAGCTGCTGGACGCCTACGGCCAGGCCGGCCCCGTGCGCGTCCGCACCCTGCAACTGCTCGGCCTCGCCTGCCTCTTCCTCGCCTGCAAGATGGAGGAGACCCACTGCCCCGCCGTACGTGGTGCCCGGACACCGGGGCTCTCCCCCCACCCGGAGGTCTTGGGGGCAGAGCTCAGGGCGCGGACACCGGGGTTCCCTGCCCAGCTCAGGGACGGGGACCTGGGTCTCAGAGGTTACAGGGGCCAGACTCCCGGGTTCCCTTCCCAGCTCGGGGTGGGGGCAGGTGTAGGGCTGGTTGGGAGCCCAGACACCTGGGCTCCCTCCTGCTCAGGGGGGCCGGGGCTCTCTCCGCAGCCGGCCACGCTCTGCTTCATGACCGAGGACATGTTCAGCCACACGGCACTGCTGCGCATGGAGCGCCGGGTCCTGCGACGCCTGCGCTTCCGCCTGCACCGCGCCAGCCCCGCCGGCCTCCTGCGCCTGCTGGCCACGCTGGGCCACTGCTCCCCTGAGGTGGGCGCCGCGCCCGGACGCCCGGGTTCTCTCCCAGCGGTGGGAGGCGACTTGCACCCGGTTGGCTCTAGGGGGGCCCCTGGGTCCCCACTGAGCCCCGCTGTCCCCCCGCAGACGGGCGCCCTGGCCATGTACTTCCTGGAGCTGTCGCTGCTGGAGGCCGAGTGCGTGGCCTTCGCCCCGGGGCCGCGTGCCGCAGCCGCCCTGAGCCTGGCGCAGCGGGTGCAGCAGGATGCGGGGGGCCCAGGCGCCCCTGCCCCCCTGTGCAGGTAGGTCCAGGCCTGGCTGGGCTGGGGAGTGGGGTGCGGGGGGAAGCTCCCGTTAACTCCTGCCCTGCCATTGCAGCGAAGAGGAGCTGCGTGCCCTGCATCCCTTCGTGGCGCGCGCCGCGCTGCGGGCCGGCTCCGGCGCCCTCCGCGCCATCTTCTTGAAGCACTCGCGGCCCCAGCGCCTGGGCGCCAGCACCAGCCCCGCCATTGCCCGCTCCTGCTACCTCGCCCGCTGCCTGGCGCCCGGGCCTGAGCTCCCCCCCCGCAGCCTGGGCCAGTCCCCTCCGGCTGCCCCAGTAGTGCCCACTTTGAGAGGGCTACTGGGTGGGGAGCAGGGGCCTGGACGCCTGGGTCCACCTGCTCTGCTGTGACTCCTGAGCCCCTGCCTGGCTGCTGAGGGCACTGGAAGGGGGGGAGGGTCGGGGCTGGGTTGAGGGGGGCTCTCCCCCTCTCCCAGCTGCCTGCGGGGGGGAAAAAAAGGAAGGAAAACAGAAGTTTGTGGGGGAAATGGCCCCAGATTTGTCTAATAAAGAGTGTTTTAGCCTTACCGCAGCCTCCGCCTCTGTCTGGGCCCCGGGTGCGGGGACAGGCCTGGCCCCAAGGCTCCCGGGGCTGGGGGCTGAATTTGGCCCAGCTCAGGACACGGGCGGTGGGAGAGGAGCTCT